TACAACTCTGGCGAGCAAAACGCTCCACGAGTCCCTGTATATTCTTAATCCTTCCTCCTGCCGCTGGCTGCACGGCATCTGAAACCGATGTGAACACAGGCACGAGAGTTTGTGATTGAGATTGGCTTCGTACCTCCCGCTGTCACCCTTGTATTTGCGGTTATTTGATTTTTTTTTTTTTTTTTTTTTTTTTTTTTTTTTTTTTTTTTTTTTTTTTTTTTTTTTTTTTTTTTTTTTATTTTTTTTACTTTATTGATAGGGAGAAGTTTTGAAATACATTGAGTTTGTGTTTATAAAATGGGCATTCGAAGAAGTCATCAGCTACAGCTTTGTCGTAGTCCAGGCTGATCATTATTCGACCACATTTTTATCAGAATCAGTAGTTCCGATTTAACTTTCTGAGATATATACTTTCAAGGAAAATATATTGGAAAACCAAAATAACGGTAAATTTAATAGTTGAAACATTCTCCGTGTGGAACAAACACGGTGTCACTGCCCTATAAAAAGTAGCAGAAGCATTCTCCAGATCCATTCCTGCTCGTATCAGTGAAATGTGTAATCCTTTCGAAGTTACATGGCAAAGAGCACTCCTTGCATGATCACAATCAACAGTTTGCTCCCAAATGCCCAGGCACAAAAGACTTCTTTTTTTCCCCCTAGAACGCCAATTGATTTCATTGGTCTTTCCGCGCTTGAAACAGGAGTAACTGTGACCTGTAATATTTTGTGACACATAAACCATAAAAGAATAATGTTAACAATGAAAGTCTGCCAAGTAGTGTGCCTGAGGGAGGAAAGGAATGTTTGCCTTGGAAAAGGAGAAAGGCTAAAGAAAAAGAGAAAGAGGGAGAGAGAGAGAGAAAAACTGAGAAAGGCAGACCAAAAAAAAAAAAAGAAGAAAAAAAAAAAAAAAAAAAAAAAGAAAGAAAGAAAGAAAGAAAGAGAGAGAGAAAGAAAGAAAGAAAGAAAGAAAGAGAAAGATTCTCAAAATGCATTACATATCTGTTTATTCATATATTATTAATTTCATTATTTATGTAATGGGGTTTTGTAGTTACAAATTTACTGTGATCTCACATAGCTAATTACTGAAGAAAAACAAACAAGAGATCTTGCTCCTAAGCTGACACGCAAAACATTCCTAAACTACTCTTTCCCCCTTCAAAAAAAAAGACAGCCCGGTGTTCCGGCCGGGTCCAGGGCCCGGCCGTGCCGCAGCGGGAGCAGTTTCCCCCGGGGCCGTCCCCAGCGCGGCGCTGCCGCCCGGGCTCTCCCGCGGGCCGCCCCGGGCTCCGGCCTCGCTCGGAGCATCCCCGGGGCCTGGCCGGGAGCTCATCGCCTTCCGTGCCCAGGGTCCCCCGACAGCTCCGGGAAGGGAGGGGGCATCGCTCCGGGAAAGCTATTTGCCGGCAAAAAGCCGCTCGAGTCTATAGCCCAAACGTGAGCTGCCATTAGAGAGTTACTAATAAATCCCTATTAAGCATGCATTTATGCAGTGATTATGTGAACTTTGGCCTTTGCAGAGTCCCAGCAATTAACGGAGCCGTATATCGCGTTTTGCTCCGATTTCTACTCTTTTCCCATACAGGATGGAGTGGGGAGCACGGCTCCGCCAGCGCCTCCAGCTGCCGGGTGCCTCTCCAGCCATCCCTTTGCTCATCACTGCTGAGGAAAAAGCCCCAGGCACCCCTCCCTTTGTCCCCGGACCCCCGCTTGAAAATGCGGGATCCTTAGCGAGATCATTTTTTTCCCTCTCTGCGGTACCTCTCGCCGGGGATACCCGCCTGAGTGTCGGGTGCAGGGCGGGGAAGATGCCGAGTTTTTGCTGTCTCCGCAAAACAGCGGAAAGCTGTTACAATTTAGTAAAAATTGCTGGGCAAAAGTGAGAGGAAAGTTGCCGCTGCTGGAGAGACAGGGAAAGAGAGAGAGGGAGAGGGATGACTCTGTAATTGTTGCCTTTATCAAGGCTGTGAGATTAACTACTGGGATTTATTCTAAAGTGACCCATCACCGAATTCATTTCTGCTTGAACTTTCGGTGAACCTGAGATTAAAGAGAGGAGAGCAGCTAAGCAGTTTGTTGTTAGCTGCCTTTTCAACAGCCCTTTCAGACTGAGTAAATATTGATCGGTTTCAATCTGATTGCCCCAGAGGAAAACACCAAAGCATCTCAATAGCCTCCAAAAGTAAACTTTAAAGGTGAACAGCAGAAATGGCCTTAAGTATGATAGGAAGATACTAAACTCCGTTTGACATTTGAATGCGATTTGTGTTGACGGGTTTTGATGAGATGTGGGTTTTTTCTTTATTTTTCACGCTGAGAGTCTAGAGACAATATTTTTTTTAATTCAAAATGTGTAAAAAATCTCTACAACCTGAAGTGTGAATTAGTGGCTTCATTAAAAGCACTTGGGGAATGGAGGTTTAGCGATATTTTTGGCAGTAGAAACTATAAGCCAGAGATTTTCATTTCTCTTCACCGCACCCCTGAACCCGAAGGTTAATGGTATCGAAATAGTATTAACGCTAACAAAATGTGACAGGATCGGGAGGTTTGGAGCGTCTTTGCTTGAAATACATTATGACTGCGGGGATGGGGTGGGGGGCAGAGTGTTGGGAAATATGTATATATACATATGTATATATAGTGTTTGGTCTTGGAAGGAGATGGGATTCTTTGCCCGCAAATCGCAGATTGACGCACTGACAAGTGTCTTGTCTCGTATTTAGGCCGTAATTTATGGCCGCTCTTTCTAACACATTAAGTCAACACCGGTGGAATCGAGTTGTAGATCCGGATTCCATTAATGTTTAGATCCAGATTTCGATATTGAAATGCCCTCATTGGCATGTAAATGCCACTTTAACACATCCAAGACTCTGGAAGAAGGCCATCTGTTTTGCTTTGTGGCTTTACACTAATCAACAAAAGGTAAAGTATATGGCAGGCGGGGAAATGAAAGAAATAGAGGCATCGGCGGGAGCCTTTGGAGACAGCCCTGCTCCCTGGCAGATAGCTCGGCTCTTGATATGGCCGCCGCGCCTTGCAAATCAGGGCTTGTCTCTTTTGACACCGAAGTGAAGAAAATTTCATTGACTCTCTGTGGATCCCGCAAAGCGAAGCCTGCGTGGGCAGATCAGCCCCAGGAGAAGCCCGGTAGCACTTCCCGCAGCTGGGCCGGGTGAAGGAGATGTTAGGCGTGTTTGCGTTGTAATTCAAGAGGCATCAGTGGCTTGAGACATCCCCCGTCCAGCTGAGCATGCCTCTACTGTGTCCTGCCACCCAGGATCTCCCCGCTGAGGCTCCTCTCCCTTCCCCACCTGCTGTTCACTTGACATTTCTTGGAATAGTTACTATATTTACCTGCAAGAGCTTTCTCTTGTACACGGCGGGCTGGGGGGGTGGGAGGGGGGGCGCGGAGAAAGAGGGGAAGGGATGGTGGAACGGGCCCGGGATTAACACCAAAAACACACTGGGAGCCATCTCCCACTTTGGCACCCCATCAAGCGCTGGGGAAAGCAGCTTGGAATGGAGAGAGAAGCCGGACAAGCTTAGTGCCCAGGCTAATTAAATATGCAGTCCTTGGAGAGGGGCCTGCAGCGTGAGGAAAGACTGGCTGAAGAGAGTTTCTGCTTTTGAAGGGTGCTCTGTTTATTTAAGTGTCAGCATCCATCCCGAGGTGAAAAGGTTAGCACTTGACCCAGGAAGTTCTCCTGTTTGTGCTTCAGAATTAGATTGGGATCATAAATTCCTCCCAGTTACAGAGAATGGAGAGAAGGGCCTTATATTGTCTAAAAATAATATTTTTTGAGCATAGGAGAGGAAGAAGTTTTGTGTAGGATGTCAGATTGGGCAGCTAGTTCTCTGACTCTGACAAAACAACACAGGAGGGGTTGTGAGACTCTTACTCCCTTTGCCCATTGGAAAGACCCCAGTAGAAGAAAAGAAGGGAAACAAAAGCGCTGAGCCCAGCCTGTGACTCAGCGCTGACGTCACGCAGAGGTAGGCAGACAAGAGCTACCTGAAAGTGGAATATATTTATTACAGACATTATAAGGACCCGTAAATCCTGCCCTGGCTTCCACCACTGGTGGAATCACAGAGCCTTTCATGATTGTACAGAAAAATCAGGACATTTTGCTCACACACGACAACTGATAGAACTCAGTGTACCTGCAGTACAGCAAAGCACGGTGCGTCATGCAAAGGTCTGGACACCAACCACAGAAATTATACATTCATTTGGCCATTTGTCACATTCACGAGTAGTTTGAAAAGACATCGAGTCTAAAGGAAGGTTAATATGAAAATAGGAAGAGGCGAGGTCTTTTGGATGCTTGTGCCCTTCAGCTGCACATAATCCAACACAGCTTTTGGGGCAGGGGGAAAAGGAGGGGGGACAAGCACACTGGGCAAGGTTTAAAAAAACCTAGTGCAATTGAAGCCTTGTTTGTCACATTTAAAGAAATAGCGCTACTTTTTTGAGGTATCTGCTTGAGCTTAAGACGTTTACTTGATACGGTCATCTACTTTACCAATATAAAAATGGATCCAGTTTGGCGAATGCACTCACCCTGCTTAACCTGATAATCGAAACATCATTCTAGAAAAATCTGTAAAAAGATAAATCTCTCGGACAAAGTATTTACAAGCAACAAATGCATTGACACGAACAAAGAATACATTAAATTAAGGGGATGAATGTCCTATAAGTCGTGTAAACACTTGCAATAGTGCATCTCTTTGTGAGGTTATGTACCCTAAATAACCTGTCTTTCACTCAGGGAAACTCGGTGGAGCGTCCTTGCAGTGGTGGAGGGGGACCCTTACGCGGATGCCAACACAGCTCCACCCTTAACAGAAAAGGAAGGGGGGGCCAGGAAGAAAATTCCCCTAGCACCAAGGCGCCGGGACCCGGCGGAGCCGGCACCCCCGGGGCCGGACGGCGGCGGAGGTAGCGGGGGAGGGAACGGCAGCTCGCCGGGACCTCTCGGGGATACCGACCGACCGAGGGACCGACATAAGAGCGGCGGAAGGACGCGTGCCGCTCCGGCGGGGGCGTCGCGCCCGGCGGCCGTCGGGGCGCAGCCGGTCTCAGTTGGAGGCAGCGAGCGTGTCCGAGGCGGAGGAGGCGGGCGAGGCGCTGCAGGGCGAGGAGCAGGACTTCTCCGACGAGTCCTCCGCCTTCTCCTCGCAGCCCGTGGGGGTGGCGGGGGAGATGGGCAGCAGCCCCTCTTTCTCCCGTTTCTTTTGCTTCATCCGCCGGTTCTGGAACCAGATCTTCACCTGCGTCTCGTTGAGCTGGAGAGAGGCGGCGATCTCCACTCGCCTGGCCCTGGTCAGGTATTTGTTGAAATGAAACTCCTTCTCCAGCTCGGTGAGCTGCTTGGTGGTGAAGTTAGTTCTGACGGTGTTGGGCTGCCCCACGAAGCCGTACTCGCCAGCCTTGCCTGCGAGGGGACATGCAGCGGTAAGTGAGCGCAAATGATTTATAGGCGATGTAATCAATATGTCCACACCGGCTAAGCGATAGGGAGCAAGAACTTCTTAGGATAAGAGGGAAACCCCGGCAGGGTGAGTGATGGAGTGCGAGGTGCTAAACCGGAGTCAGCCTCTAGTGTCAGAGCAAACTTGATAAGTGGTTTATGAATTACCAGAAATATGACCACGGGAGAGGAGGAGAAGGGGGAGTCAGGAATAAGTGGGGAATAAGCGCCGCTGGCTTTCAGCTGCGCGGGCAGGCAGCCGCGACTGATCCCAGAGGTGCGGGCCGACCTACCTGCCCAGAGCCCCGCGGGATACCGCGCCTCTTTCCCCGCACCTGCGGCGGACAGAGAGAGGAGCGGCCCCCGCCCCGGCCCTCCCGCCGGCCACTGACCTGTTTTGGGTGGGTTTCTTTTCACTTTCATCCAGTCGAAGGTTTGCGCCGGCGGCGAGGTCTCGGTGGAGGGGGAGCGGGTGTTTTCCCGGTGGCCAGCGTGGAGGGGAGACAGCGCATGGTTGTAGGTGCCCAGGGGCAGGCTCTGCTGGTCCTGCCCGTAAGGGGGAGGCACGTACTGAGCGGAGGCCCCCGCGTAGCCCTGGTGGGGGAGCGGGTGCTGCGCAGCGGCAGAGGAGGAGATGCTCCCCGAGTACACGGCGGGGGCACAGGGAGGGAAGCCGCCGCCCAGCTCCGCGTCCTGCCCCAGGGGGTAGGGGCCGTACGCCGGTCCGAAGCCCTGCGCGCTGTAGGTCGGGCCGCAGCCGGGGTGCGCGTAGGACACCCCCAGCCCGCCGTGGTGCTGGTAGGCGGCGGGCTGGGCCGGGCTGTGGTGATGGTGGCGGTGGGGGCTGATGGGCACCCCGCGGCCCGCCAGGAAGCGGTCCTCTCCGCTGCAGCTGCCGGCGCTGACGGCGCAGGGCTGGAAAGTTGTAATCCCGTGGTCGGGGTGGTAGGCGCGGGCGGCGCAGGCCCCCGCCTCGCCGCCGAGGACGGGGTACTCGAGGAAGGAGCTCATCCTCGCCGCGTCTGTCTGTCACGCCGCCACCGGGTCTTCAGCGTCCGGCGGGGCCGCGCCAACTTTCCCACTTCCTCCATGGGGCCGGCAGGAAAATGACACGAAGGCGCCGGCAGCGGGCAGGCACGTGGGGGGCGGCAGCCAATGGCTGCGGCGCCCGCGGGGCTTCCCCGGCTCCTGTCGCTGGTACAGCGCCGCATCGGGGGCATTTAAACGCCGAGCGCTCCGACCGAGCGGCACCGCGGGCAGGGAGGCGCCGGCCGTGGCCCCCAGGGGGTGGGGGGCGGGCCGGGCAGGGCTGTACACACACACCCCCGCCGCGGCAGCCCCCTGGGTCTCGTCCGCCAGCTGAGAGAAGAAGGCAGGAGAGACCTGGAGGCTGCGCCCGGCCCGCGGAGCCCACCGGCCGTCCCCTCCAGGGTGAGTGCTGCTGCCAGTGTGCCCCAGCATCACCCTGCTGTCGGCGCTGTCAAGCCTGCACCGGGCACCTCTGCTGCCCATCAACCCCGGCCAGGACAGCGGCGGGGGTGGGGTGGGGTGGCTAGGGGAGGTGACTGGATCCGCGGCACGGGGCGAGGGATGGGGCGGAGAGAGGCAGAGACAGCGCTGAGAGCATCAGCCCTTGGAACGGGAATGAGAATGGGACCGTGGGATGCGGCTGGGGACTTCTACCGGGACGGGAATTGAGATAAGGAAAGGAATGAAGGTAAGGATAAGGTAGAGAATAAAGAATAGGCATGGGACCGAGGATATGGATATGGATGGGATGTGGGTGGAGGTGGAGACGGTAATAGTATCGGTGCTGAGGGGGTCTCGCTGGTCCAGCCCCGCCGCAGTCCCAACGCGACGCCACGCCAAGAGTTAAAGGGGCTTGTCCAGCCGCATCACCAGGCGGCCGCGGACATTAGCATGGAAATTAGGCGCTTTTGGGACTGACGGCCATTGTGCTCTCCCAGGCTCACCGGCCACCCTCTGGCCCCCATCCCTTCTCCCCCCGCGCCTTCGCCGGGCTCACCCTCGCCAGCCTAGGGAAGGAGGAGCCGGGGGCAGGAGGACGAATGATTGGACGGGGGCCCGGGGGCTCCGCAGCCCATCTGCTGTGCTCCCGCAGCGCCGCTGCCGCCCGTCCGCCCTGGGACAGGGTGGGGGGACGGCTGTCCGGGGTGTCGCGGGTCGCAGCCCGAGGAGGCGACCCGGGACAGGGGCAGAGGAGCGGAGGGAGGCGCAGAGCCCGCCGGCCCGGCCTCTTTGTCCCTGCGCTCCGCCACCCGGGTCGGCGGTAGGGAGAGATGGCAGATGGCCAGTGGCAGAGGCGGCCCCAGGACCCTCGGGAACGGCTCTGAGGATCGACTCCAACCCAGCCCTCCCCAACACCGTGGGGAGGTGGGTCAAAAAATTCGTCCGTGGCTAGAGAAGGAGGGATGGCGGTGAGATGTAGGTTACGACCTTATATGCGTTTTACGTATGCGGAAAGGGAAAGGGGAGGTAAAGGCCGGGCATCCGTCTGTCCCAGCTCACCCAACCGTCTGCAGGCAGAAAGGACGGGACCAAAAGTCTTCAAAATAAGTTCTGCGAAACGTCAGCCTCGGAGAAAGATGGATGGAAAGTCATGTCCCCTGACACTAGCCCCAGAAGGGGCTACCCCCTCTATTTCTGCAGGTGCCGACTCTTACGTCCCTCTGTTCTCACGCTCGATCCTTGCTTGTTTTGAAATCCAAAAGGCTCTTCTACCACGCTACCACTCCCCGCTCACGAATACACACGCACACACCCACATACACACCCTCAAGCTCCTCCCTCCCACACGAACTGCGACACAACAACACTAGGTGCAAAGCTCTCCTTCCTACTGCTATTGGGTCAGCCCTTATCCCACGGCATCTGCACGGCCGCTCTACTGTCAGCCAAAACCGACGGGCGCCTCTCCACCACGCATCATTCCCGGTGCCCTCAGTACGTCTATTTGTTCTGATTTACTACAGAGGCGGGGATGGTTAAGGGCCCTCTGGAAAGGTTCAGTTTCTTAAACTGTAGGGGGGTGGAGTGGAGGACAAGAGCAACAACACTCTAGAGGCGTTTATGATATTATACTGCGCCAATTTTGGTTATGGCTGCAGCTGTAAACACATTTATTTCATTCTTGTAAACCCGTTGTGATAAATACTGCACAAAGCAGAGAAAAAAAAAAAAGACAGCGATTAGTATTGCTTATTAATAAAAGGGCTGACATCTTCTCAATGCTTTTTCCTTTAGCCAAGGGAAAAAAAAAATATTTTACTACAACTAGATCCCTTTTACCCGTAAATTCCGATCAATCACTTTTCTTACAGTCTCCAGCATCCTGAAATCCTTTTTCCTCTGCCTTTTTGGTGCCATTGTCTCTTGTTGCATTGTTTCTCTGGCGGGGCTCTCGGGTTTTGCTGCCCGCACTAAGCATGGGGGCAACATCATGAGAAGGGTCGGAGCAGAGGAGGAGCACACACCACACCCTCCGTCCTCCGCGGCCAGGCGAGGGGGAGCTACGGCCCCTTCCCCTTGCCCTCAGGCCATCCCGGCCCCTCCGCGGCTTCGCTCCGCGTTTCCTGCCACGGAACTGAGGCTGAGGGGGCGATCCCGGCTGTTTAGGCTTTTCCGTGGGAGTGTGCCCCAGCTGTGGCCCCATAGTTCACCCAGAGCCTCGGAGGCGGGTTCTGCTTGCTGAATTCCCCCATTTATTTAAATTGAGTTTATGAGAAGTTTAAACCTTGTAGAATATTCCCTTTTCCTTTTTATTTTCGTTTCTTTTTTTTACATCTCTGGGTTTTGTTTGGGGGGTTTTGGGGTTTTGTTTTATTGTTTGGGTTTGGTTTTTTTAGTTCGTTTTGCTTTGGTTTTCTTTAAGTGTAGTCAGCATCCGGAAATCTGGGCACAAAAGAAACCCCAAGCCTTACAGGAACGTTGCGGTCCAATTTAACCCAGTGGCAGGGGAGTGAAAATGCCGGTGAGGCTGCTCGCTTTCCGCAGGGACATGGCTGGAACAGAGGGAAGGAGGAGAACTGAGGCCGAGGTTTCACCGCGCCCGCAGCTCAGCCAAGCTGTTGTTTTAAAAGAGCAATAAAAGTGAATTATGACTAAACGCCTTCTCACTTAATGGTTTTAGATGGGGATCCCCAGCCTCGGCAAATACGTAAGAGGATTTTTATTTGTGAATGTGTTCCTGCAATTGATCTCTTTGATGACATTCTCATTCATAGAAAGAGTTTGATTTATGACTTTCGGAAGAATTGCGTTCAGCCCTTCCAGCTATAACCCACGCATCCCAGCTCCACAGCGTGTTACAGGGCTGGGAGACAGCACTGCTCTCATGGACGGACCCCATTCACAACCCCCCACCCAAGCCCCACTCGCTTGTGTAACGTGACCGCTCGGACTCACTCGCACTCACACGCATTCAAGGAGCCGCGAATGTCCCCGCACGGGATTCCCTGGCCCCGGAGAGGCAGAGCCCCGCTGGCATCTGTTGCTGTGTTTTAGCCCGAAGGACGGGGCTCACCCTCTGCTTTGGGGTTCGGTAACACCGGGTGGCAGGCAATTTGGTGGAGATTTCTGAAAGCCCGTCTAGCCGCCTCCAGCAGAAGAGCAGTGAGCCCGAGAAAATTTTCGTTATCAGTCTTTCATCTCTCGAGAAGGCTTACACAGAAAAATATCTTCGGGTCTGCCCCCGCACCGCCCCCGAGAAGGATGGAGTGGAGAGGCCGGTTCCTCCCTAAATATTTTTTCTTCCCCCTGCGTTTCTGCCACCCTTTTGATTTCACAGGCACTAACTTCTCCATTTCCTCTCCTCCTAGGGCTGATTTCTTGGATTACTCAGCACGTGAGAAGTAACCAACCACATTATTTGTGAGCTCTGATATTTTTAAAGATACGTTTTCTGAAATATCTTGCTGGCTGCTAAGCACTACTTTCTAGAAAACCAGGATTAATTAAAAAAAAATAATTAAAAGCAACTTTCCTTTCGTTCATGTAACAGGCTGGTGGTTTCTGAAGGAGACACTTACCCTATTGAGTCACTCTTACGTTCTGCCTGTAGCAGAGAAAGTCTTCATTCATGCTTTTGTTACAGCTCAGGATTTCCAAGCTTTGTATCCTCACAGAGATAAGATGCCATATTTATACATTAAAAGGAGCAAATGTCTATAAAATCTGTGAACGGTTCTAATTTCTTTAGTTTGTTTTTCCTTCCCTTATGAGAATCCTTACAATAAAGGAAATGAACGATTTTTTCCTCTCTAATGAGTGTCCTAGATTGCCAAAAGGGAAGAGCTCGTTGTCGAAATGTTGGATTTTGATTATTAGTAAATTAATAGTGGAAGGGATGGGGAGAGATACCCGTCATGTTATCCGTCTTGAAAGCAGAGAGAAAAAGAGGAGAAAGAGAAAGAAAAAAGAGAAAGCTCCTTGTAGCAAACAAGAATTTATTCTACCAAAAATACTTATGACAACGCATCCTAATGTAATACAAAAATAAAAAGAAAGTGAAGATACATTCCTATATGATCACTTTCTCACAGACCTCATATATTGCTTTCATAGAAGGACCTAGAATGTGGCTAGGTTAAAATTGAACACAACTAAAACTTCATAAGAAACGGCAAAATGGCATATCAGAGAGAAGTAACAAACAGAAAATAGTGAAGAGGGAAAGGGAGGGGAAGCATAAAATTAATTAACTGGGGGAAAAAATCAAGAAAAAATAAGGAGGAGAAAGCAGGACCCTTAGAGAGGACTTCTTTAATTTCTTAGTAATTCAGATGCTGCAAGTCAATTGTGGTGAGTGTGTCTGTAAAAAAGTCAAAACTGTCAGCAGAGATATCTACGGGACTGTCCAGAGATCCTGGCAAACTGGGGGAAACTGCATCTGAAAGCTGTAGGCAGGAATCTGTGGAGAAAACGTTAAAGTCCTGTAAAGAAGGGACATCTAGGGCCTCAGGACTGTCATTGTTCAGGCCAGCTGCACAGTTCTGGGCCATTGTTGAGAGGCAGTTTTGAACAGTGGGTGACTGATGCTGAAAATGTTTCAGATTTTTCTCATTGCTTGTTAAAGGCGAAACGGGGAAAGTTTGGGATTCGCCATTGTGCGCATTCTGCGCCTGCTGCTGGGAGAGGGCATTCTGCTGGAAAGCGTAGCCTTCCCGCTCCAGGAGAGCGCCGGAGACGTTGCTGAGGGCTTGCTCGAAGAGGGATTTCTCCTCCTCCTCCTCTTCTTCCTCGTCCACTGCTTTTTCGGGGTCCTCTAGGTTCTTAAATTTCCCCTCGCTGTTTTGATTCTCCTTGCACTGGGTCTGTCTCTTGTGCTTCATCCTCCTGTTCTGGAACCAGACTTTGACTTGTCTCTCAGTCAGATCCAGCAAGGCTGCAATCTCAACCCTCCTTGGTCTACAGAGATACTTGTTGAAATGAAATTCTTTCTCTAGCTCCAAAAGCTGGGTGTTGGTGTAAGCCGTCCTCAGGCGCCTAGATCCACCGCTACCGCTATCGGGGATTTCAAGGGGGTCTGTTAAAAAAGAAAGAAAAAAAAAAAAAAAGAAAAACACCACCACCACACGCACCCCAAAGCATCACCGCCCGAACAGCGAAAGCAAAGGCATACGGACACACATACAAAACAGATAAATGCACGGATTGAATTTCAGCACCCCAGCTCATCGCATCCCGGGGGGGTGGGGGGGAGTGCTCTCGCTGCATGTATGTGTCTATATCTATATGTCCATATAGCATAAAATAGCAACTGCAACAAAATGGCCGCCTTTGGATGCAGTAAACCCATTGTGTTGCACTGCTGAGCGCCCGGTGCTGCGTGCCCCTCGGCCACCTCCGCCAAATCGCTGCCTCCAGCTCCCCAACCTCCCCACACCAGAGCAAACTTTATATTAGCCATACCGCAATTTATAATTAATGCATCAGCTGCTTAGCTGAGCGGGAGCAATCTATCACTCTTCATTACTGTCAAATATCCTAACTCTAGGACGGCGAGACAAGAGAGGTCAGCTCCAACTCAAATAAATCATCCCGCATTAGGCAAGTTTGGGGAAAGTTTGGGTTTCCATCGACCCCCGCCAGTTCGGTCTTTCCCGCCCGGCCGCCCTCCGCCTCGTCCCCCCGCAAAGCCGGGGGGATGCGGGGAGCCAAAATAGCGGCCCGGCGGGGCTGGCAGCACGTCTTTGGACTGACCTTTGTGGCTGAGGCAGGCAGGTCCAGCGGCTGAGGCGGAGGCCGAAGCGGGCGGCAGTGCGGATCGCTTGGACGCCTTTTTCTCTTTCATCCAGGGGTACTCCGGGGGCGGCGGGGCGCCGGCGGGGCCCGGGCTGCCGCTGCGGCCGCGGGGGCTCGCCTTGGGGCGACCGCCGCCGCTGTGGCGAGGGTGGCTGCCGGGGTTCAGGCTGGGGATGGTCTGCTCGAAAGGAGGAGGAATCAGTGTCGAGTGTGAAAGCGTCGAGTTCTTGATTGATGAACTTTGAAATGTATCACCGACAGGGGGAAAAGATGTCAGGCACTCAGCAAGCGATGGCTGGCTATTGATAAAACCGATCTCTCGCTCAAATGCGAAATTCATGGCCTTCAACTGGCAGCCCCCGCGGAGAAAAAGTTCCCTCGGATTCAGGGGCCTCGGGGGGAGGGGAAGGCCCAGGAAAAAGGAGAGAGAGGAGAAAAAAAATATAGCATAGAAGATCGCTGGTGGGGTGTTTTTTTTCTAATTCACTGATTACAGCCGTATGGGGACCGTGCTACTATTAAACTATTGAATTCATGGAGACAAGGTTGAAATTGGACCGAATTGGCTGTCACATGATTGCCTCTGCCCAATGACAATTTGGGCTTTAATCAAAAGAAGCCACTGTCTGTTTGATTGATCCAAAAAAGTCGGGAAGGAACGCCTCATTGGGGGCCAGAAAGGCTTTATTTACACTTTTTTTTAAAAGGGGAAATGATATCTCGAGTATCTATCCCCTTGGCGTCCTAATCTGAAATGATCGGGGGTGGGGAGGAGGGTGCGTGTGCGTGGATATGTTTGCGAGAGAGGCTGCGAGAGTGTGTATGTGTGTGTGTGTGTGTGTGCGTGTGCGTGTGTGTGTGTGTGTGTGTGTGGCTGCTTGTCCTGCAGCCTGCTGCCTTCCTCGCATCCACCCGCACACTCTTCTCTCATTGTTTGGGACTGTCAGGAAAACGCTTTGCACCTCACAAATCATTTAAGCACCTCAGTCTGACGCCTTGAGTCATTAACAAAGTAATCCATTAATCTTCAAAGTTTTGACACCGTCAGGCCCCCGCATAAGAAGTTGCACCCAGGCAGGAGTCTGAAGCAGAGGGTCTTGATTTTTTCCTAGGAATAGCACTTTCTCCAAAACTAGTTTCTCCTTCCCGACTCAGCCTCAATGGGCAATGATGGGCTCCTTTGTAATCTTTGTTTGTTTGTTTGTTTGTTTGTTTGGCTCTGTGTTCTTGTTGAATTTTTTTCTTTTTTATTTTTCTTCTTTTCCTCTCTCTTTTTTTTTTTTTTTTGGTCTTCTTTTTTGATGGCTATCGAGTGTACAGTATGGAGAACAATCGGTCGCCGGTGCTGAGCCATTGTTTATCAGGATATTCCTCAGCAACCTTGCTTCGAGGGGAAGAGTCACATAGGCAGCAACCCTGGCGCTTCATGACTTCCCTCTCCAGTTGGCGTCCCGGGATTGGACCGTAACACATAACCCTAGGAGAACCTCTCTGGGCGAGCCAAATCGCGAGGCTGCAAACGCGTCTAGCTGTTGCCTCTTAAAAAAAAGTATATATCCCGTGCCTTAGCTTGCAAACGATACTCCCGTCTGCTGGCATAATTTGCTTAATAACCGTAGTAGGCTGGGTCTGGTGAGTATTTTCGATTACCAGGAAATATATGGGCTGGTAGCGGGTTTATTTTCAAGGGGCCAGACAGCGCGAAAATGCTGCGGGGTTCTGGCTTGAGAGACGGCACTCTCCTCCGATGCTTGGCTCTTGCCGCCGCCTCCTCCAGTCACCCCTGCCAGGTCGAGGCAAGATCCGAATTTGGATGCTTTTGGCATAATTTTCCAATCATTCTGAGGCGACAAAGAGTGTGACGACAATGATGGCCACAATCAGCAACCCGATGAATCCTATGGTCACAGCCGCCCTAGACAGCCCGGACGGGGCTTGCTTGCCCGCGGAGCCCGGGGTGCACGGCGGGGTGGGGTGCGCCAGGGGCCGGGGGAAGGCGCTTCCGAGCCGCTCTCCGTGTCCTCCAGGAGCCAGGAAACCATCGCCAGCGCGATGAGATGCCGTCTCGCTTTATTTTCGGAGTTGCCAAACAAGGGTCGGCAACCGTCTTCGTAATTATATATTAAAAAAAAAAAAAAAAAAAAAAAATACGGGGGGGAGGGAGGGGAAACAGAAAACAAGACCCAAAGCACTCAGTCTGTGTCCAGTCTGCACGAAGTGAATTTAAAAATCAGTTTTAAGTTAATGCATCCACAAGATATAGCATATCTGCGAAGGCATTGGAGAGAGGGGGAGGGGAGGGGCCGAGAGGCTTTAAATGGGCTTTTTGGTGGTTGCTTGTTTAAATAAAATATAGAACGAGACTTGTCATTTAATCCCTCAAAAGGGATGCCTTACAAATATCGATGCTGTTGGAAAATGCAAGGGGTTTAATTTTCTTGCTTTTAGTCCAAACAAAGCTCTGGTGGTGTCTGCCCGCGATCAATCTTGGCCGCCAAAAGGTTTGACAGCTACTGGCCCTTAAGAACACATTTAAAGCTTCTTGCTCTTTCCAAGATCAAATGTGGCCGTGAAAAGAGGCAGAGCAAGAAACGCAAGTAAACAAGGAAAAAAGCTGCTTTTAAAATATGCTGGCAGAGGACTGGGCTGCTTGTGGGAAAAGTCCGGTTTTATTTTGCTTCTTCATGCCTGCGTTTTCTTTTCTCTGGTTTCTTTTTTTTTCTTTTTTTTTTTTTTTTTTTTTTTTTTTTTTTTTTTTTTTTTTTTTTTTTTTTTTTTTTTTTTTTTTTTCCCTCTGGAAAATATTTGGATTAAGAGCAGTATGACAAATAATAAAGAGAGAGGTCTGGACTTTAACCAGGCTTTGTGAGTAAAACCTGTGTGGGTGTCTCTATTCTGCACATTTGTTTCTTCTGGTCAGTCTAATACAAAAACCACCTGGAACAAAACCTTTGCAGAGAGGACGCGAAATTCTTGGGAGAAACAATTACTTCTGCCTCCAGGGACATCTTTTAATCGGACGAATCTTAAATGCAAAATTAGAAATTCTTATTTGCAACCTACAGTCTCTGAAGAGAAGATTTAATACGTTTTATGAAAATAAGGGGGAGAAATCCCCTGTATTTTTCTTTATTCGGGGTGGGAGGGGAGCGAAACGCGAACTTCCTTCTATTTGAACATTTTCCTAAATGCAATTCGTGGTGCTAAAGGAACCACGCAGTAAGTATTGTGACTGTACCGTTACCTTTTGTTGAGTCTAACCTAACTGATCGGAGAGCTGAAGGGGGGGGGGCGGTGGGTGGACGACGACTGGAATTTTATACGGGCGCTCCTTTGAAACGAGCATTGTCTTGTAATGTTGCAAAAATTCTTCCTTCGCCTACAAAAGTAATAATCAGTCGCTGGTCTGTACTGGGTAATAATCAGGTTTCAGTGAAAAATATTAGCCTACATAGCCTTTCCTTCCACGGTTACATGTCTATATATACAATAAACAGCACGGTATAAATCTATTTGCTATCCTTTTCTTTGACTGGGCATGCTTTATCTATTTATGCAGAAAAGCTCTATATAGAGTCACGAATGCATGACAATGTTTCAGCATCAGGCAACGATGGTTCTGGGAACAAGGTAAAGCCCAAAGATTAATAATATTTCAGCATGAGACCAAAATGGCGACATTTTTTTTCTGTGCTCTAAAAGATACAGATGGTGAACAGCGTGCGTTATTATCTACACAGCATAGGAATATGTCTTTATAAACGTGCAGGGGTATATTTTACCTAGTCTATTAAGGTCCGTTTTGATTTATCTTTCAAGTTTCAATCTAAAAATTACGGACATTTTGCCTGAAAGGAAGAAAAATCGGATTTAAGCACAAGCTTGCGGGTTTCTCCATTCTACCTCGAGCCGATTCGGTACGGGGACCCCTACGGATGCCGGTTTGGGGCCGGGACCGTCGCCCTTCTACAGCCCCGTGCCCCCCTCCCCCGACACAAACACACACCGGCACACACATCCACAGCTCCCCGCGGGAAGAAACGGAACACAGCGCTCCCCTCCCCCACACCTTCAGGCTGCCGTGTGAGGAAAGGCGGCTCAGCAAAAATGAAATGAGCCCCAGTAAAATTAAAAAACAAACGAACAACAACAAAAAAAAATTCGGGGAAAAAAATAGGGAAAGGAAAAGGTAAAATCCACGTCTTAAAGGAAAAGGGAAAAGCGGCGGGGTTAGCCAGTGGAAGGAGCAGCAATGCACGCATCCACCCCAGCGTATTCGCGGTTCGGCCAGACCCTGCTCTCCCACCCTGCTCTCCCACCCTGCTCCCCAGTGCTGGCGGGGTTCCGCAGCCTTCACCGCCCGGCTCAGACCAGCGACAAGGCGGCCCCTCCGCGCCCGCGCCCACGCGGGGCTTTATCCTGAGCGCCGGTGCCTGTGCTTCCCACACACGCTTGGACACCCACACCCACAGCCCGGCTGTCCTCCCGGCGCTGCTCCGCGGCCGATCCCCCGCCGGACCCCGCGGGGAGGGGGCGATCCGCGCCCGCCGGGCACCGCGCAGCGGGTGCGGGAGGAGGCGGCGGCCGCGGGCCCTGAAACCCTGCTGGAAGAAAGGGGGAAAAAAGAGACCGACCGAGAGAAAGAGAGCGAGAGAGAGGGGAAAAGAAAAATCTCTCTCCCTGTCTATGAAATGCTGAAAAGGCATGGCGGGGCCCTTCGGGTGAGCAGATCCTCGTGTGAGTTTACAGACGAGTTTCCTAGCTCCCCACGTCACGAAGGGCTCTTCATTCCCCTCCGCTGCAAAGAACATGTTCTTAACTCTTTATTATTCAGAATAAAAACTTTATTTTTTTTTTTCCAGAACGTGAGCAGCAAGGAATGTATAACTTTCAAAACAAATCTAGCCTTATCAGCTTCACACACTTTTTGCCTAGCTGGATGTTACAAGCATAAAGTATTCAAACCGCGATCTTTTTTCCCAGATTTTATTGCATCATCATCATCATTATTATCACTATTTTTAATAAAAGGAGTTAATAGTTTCCTTTCAAATGATACTTCTAACACGTGCCGATATGCCATCTAATATATGGCCTCCTGAATATTCAGGGTACAGATTTTTTTATATATATATAAATATGAACAAATGGGGATAAATAAAATTTTAAACACTTAGAATATTCAATGTTTGTGAAAAAAAAAATATAAATAAATCTGAATGTTCACCAGCATACACACATTGAAAGACTTACACGTATCAATAATTGTCCAGGAAGTCCCTGTCCAAGAGCTTTTGATGTCTTTCTTGCTATTTAAAAGAAGTGCAATAAAAAAAATTGCTTCCCCGTGGGATCAATCATGTACGAACAAATTCACATTTAAGAATTCCTTTTATAGAAAATTTGTTCATATACCCTGTTTTGATAAAAGTGTAGAAGGTAAAGTATAAAGCCTCTGCATACTCGCAAAGTGAGACACAAGGCTACAGTTCAAGAAGATAAATATCCACTAGTGAAACTATAGAGCAATTCAAGCAACAAATATTGCTACGTCACATAAACTAGAAAACGCTTTTACGAAAGGAAACAAAACAAACCAAAACGAACAAAAGAAACGAGAAGGGAAGAGGAGGGCACATATTGGGGGGAGGAGAGAGAAGGGAAGGGATGAGTACTTTCCAAAACTTGGGGGCTTGCTGTTCCTCTTAGTGACTCCTGTCTCTTACAGATGAGTGAGTTTGGGCGCTTCCTGAATTCTTCCCTGAGAAGGATGGTGAGCAGTAAGGTCTGTGTATGTTGGATGTGGATCACAAGGTCCATGGTGGTGATTGTTGGCCATTGGCCCAGCCCCGCTGTAGTCCATGTTGGCAGAGGGAGGATGAGGGAGATGAGTTAGACCAAAGATGGAAGGCCCAGAATTGGTCATGGTCTCCACGTAGTTGCCCCCTACGTAGACGGGGCTTCCCTGTATATGTGGATTCCCATAACCGTTGCCTTGAAGAGGATGAGTATCATATTCAGGTGTCACAGCTGCTGTCCCCGTGTATCTCTTTTGAGGAGGTGGGCAATTATTAAGAGGAGCAGTATACGATGCAGGGATGCCATAGGTGTTTTGATGAGGCTTGTTAAATGGTGGAGGCGACTGGGGCTCGTAGGGGACACTGTTTACTAATGAATGCATAGAGTTTAGATATCCCCCAGCAGCTGGAGGGACGGGGCTTCTGCTTGGGGACTGTCCTCCTGAAGAGGTCATCATACCCTTTCCCTTTTGATCCTTTTTGTATTTCATTCTGCGGTTTTGAAACCAGATTTTGATCTGTCTTTCAGTGAGATTGAGCAAATTAGCCATTTCTACCCTTCGTGGCCTGCAAAGGTACCTATTGAAGTGGAACTCCTTTTCCAGTTCTACCAGCTGGGCACTTGTGTAAGCTGTACGGGCTCGCTTAGAGGAGGCTTGCCCTGGAGGGCTTTTATCACCAGCACAACTCTCACCTATGTAAATCACACAAAGAACACAATCAGCATGGCAAACCTATACATGGCAACATGAGAAAATGGCCAACAACACAAGCACCTGAAGACTTCAGCTCCCAAGGGCAACATGGATGCCCATGTGTGCAATGAGTACTTCCCCAAGGCATGAGTTCAGTTGCACCAAACTCCAAGCCTCAAAAGAGCTCCTTCATCTCATTAGTGTCACTGTATGACTATACCTGCTTCCCCTAAGAATGACAGCATCCAACGTATCTCGAGCTTGGTAAAGAGGAGCAAGGAAGGTTCAGGGAAGCACAGTGAGGTTTAGAAATGCTGAAACTGAACCTGTGGCTCTGCTGATATAGTGGGATCAGAGTCTTCAAGAAATAGCTGTTCTCCATATATATATATATACATATGTATGTATGTATGTATATTTATATATATATACATCAGCAACAAGTACCTGAAAGCTAGATAGCTACAATACAAAATTTTAACATACAAATATAGAATTGTCAGTATAGTGGATTTTTTTATCATGTCTGTTATATAGCATAAATACATGGTAGCGATTGGGAAGTATAATATATATATAAAGAAGAACATACAGTAGCTAGGCTTGCATATAGGCATTGAGATATATCTAAACCTTGCTGCTTTTTAATAAAATAAATACATTATATGGAATGTTGGAAACACCAGTGTTACTACAGCTTTAAAAAGCAGACCAGCAAAACATTTGCTAAAGTTTTGAACTCAATTTCCAAGGCACATTTAAGCAAAAAAGAGCACGAAATCAGAATAAGCCTGACTTCTGGGCTTTGGATCTAGCACTGGTGTTATTAGTTTGGGTTTCCTTGAGTAATAAAAGTGTTGATATACACTTCCACCCCCCAAATAATGTTTTATGGGCTGAAGTTCATAGCACTCCTGAATGATTTTTGTTTACCAGGCTTGTAACTTTGCCAATCAGCTTATTAAAATAGGAAGAGGTTCTGACTGCATGCAGGGCATTGATCCTGCCTGCACATGATTATGAGCTATTTTATTCCCGTTACACTTCAGCAGAGATAGGTCACTGTCTTATTAATCTAACAGCACCATGCCAACAAAGTACTCGGGACAAGCCTCTGGCTTAAGGCCTGGGCTGCTCCACACTGACATGATTTACTGAAGGGGGGATTACCTAAGAAATGTGATAGATGCTGGAGGGTACAAGTGGTTCTGCCACTAGGAAGCAAAGACAGTTCAGATCCATTCTGCAAGGCTGGGAAAGTTTTGTGCGGGGTGTTTTTTTCACTGAGCTCTCCTCAGTGAATAAGCTGAGTGATGGCAAGCCCTTTCCAAAAGTTTCATGGGGTGAGCTCAGAGGGTGAAAAAGCCCCTACCCTCTCCCCCCTGAAGTGAAGGTGGGTAAGACTGCCCTCCTCCCCACCATATGCATAGTCAGCCCAGGAATACCCAGGGAGAGGGGAAGCATGTTTCATACCTGAACTGGAACTGCTGTTTTTCTGCTTTGTGTTTTGCCGAGACTCTTTCATCCATGGGAATATCTGTTTGGACACGGTGGGTGAGTTAAGAGCTGGGCTCTTGGTGGGGTTGGCTGGGGCAGGGTTGCTGCTGGCATTTTGAGATGGTGAGGTGGAGGTCGGAGGTGGAGGTTGTGACTGCTGGGCTGGAGGAGGCTGCGGTGGAGCCTGTGGGTCAGCAAGGCTGGGGGGCTGGAGAGTCTGGCTGGGAAGGGTCCTCATGCAACTCTCACTGATGTCATTGGCCTTGTGGTGGGACACAGAGCTGCCAGGGGACTGGAGGGAGCACGCGGGGCGGTGGTACTCAGTTTCCACAAGTGATGAAGATGGAGGATATTGCTGTTGACTCGCATTATAAGTGAAACCATTTGCTCCTTGGTAGGGGTAGGCACCATAGATTGCAGAGCTGTCGTAGTAGGTCGCTTTTTGCATTTCGTTGTTTCCCAATATTTATTTCGCAAACTGACAGGGTCTTGACACCCTTGGAGAATAACATTGGCACCCCTCTGTCACGTGGCGCTCTTCCTCCAATGGCCTCTCCGGGCAGACCTGGGGTGTGGGGAGAGCAGAGCAGGGTGAAGAAATGGTACAAATCCATCTTACTTTCAATAGCTAAGTGACATGAAAGCCATAAAAGAAAAAGTGGTCAGCAATATTTAGCAGCATGACTTGGCCTCAGGCGTGGAGCATTTCGATATAAAAGCTGCCTGGATTTACTGGCAGCTACAAATATGTGCTTTGCTGCACCGGGATAGAGGCTTTCTGGTTTGTTTTTTTATTATTATTCTTTCTTCTTAAGGAACAGAGCAAGCGGGTTGATCGTTTATCACCAAGAGGCTGTTTTAATACCGGTCTCTGAGATAAGGGTGATCGAGGAATCGGTAATGCAAAGGGGCTTGGCTATTACTTCAGTCCAACTCTAAGATCAAACCCTCTCCTTTAAACCAGCGTCGTTTTATTTTTAGCCTTTCTCCCCTGGTTACGGCTCTTCATACAACTTCAAAGAAATTTATGAGATGGTTCCTGTCTACGTGTAGCAGGGGGCAGGAGCAGTGTGGAAAGGTTTCCTACGCAGGGATATTTAAACACCCCGACCCCAAGTGATGGATTTTGGCTTGTCTATGAAATGCTCGATAGGAAAATAAACGAAGCCAGCACCTTCTCCCCTCCGTGCCCGCACACCACCCCGAGCCGCCCAGGTCACGCACCCTGGCAGCAGTTGTTTCTGCCCGGGCGAGCCCCGCCCGCCGCCCGCAGCGCTCCCTCTCGGTCCTGGAGCGCGGCTTGGGCCGTTCCACGGAGCCCCCGAGCCTGCCTCCCACTCGCGAGTGGGTCCGGCCTCAACTGCTCCCGGCGCCGCTCCAAGCCCCTCCAGAGAGGCCAGCAGGGGCGGTCGTTGGTTTGTTTTTTTCAGCAGTTATTTTCAAGACACTAACTTTTCGTGGAATCAGCCAGATCCTACCTGTTAAAACATGATGGATTGGGGGAAAAAAACACACCAGAAACCTGAAAAACCAGCGTTCATCTCCATGACCACGGCTTGAACTTTCCTTCCAACTTAGCGATAATAGGTTCTGTCTTGGAAACTGCTATGTAATTTGATGTATGAGGGTCACTTGGCTGGGGAGAGGGTGGACACAAACTCAGAGAATGCTTCTCCTGCCCGAGCAAATCCCTTCCCCCCCGATTTTTTTTTTTTTTTTTTCGGTCACCCATCCTCCTTTATTTCTGGGATTCCCCCCCGCCCGTCCAAATTAAAGTCTACTCGTCACCTGCATGAAAATAACCAATTAAAGAATCGCCCGTATTAATGAGAGAGGAGACCTGTGCATAACCTCCGATCTAGGAGGTATTTCCACACGCACTCACATTGTTCTCAGAAGCTGAAGTGTGTTTCTCACCGTCCCCCTAACCCCTTGCTGGCAAATAACCATGTCTTTTCAGATCAGAAGGGCGTCTTTCCTTTTACCACTTTCCCTGTACTTAAGCAGATGGATATTTCCCCCCCCTCCCAAAACATCTAACGAGAACAAATGCTTAGGGGCGAAAAGCCTTACACAACACAAGCACCAAACGAGCTCATTCTACGCCTTTCAAGTTATACAAGTTCTTAGAAAACAGTATTCCCTTTGTTAGATCGTAACAAAATGAAGGTAACACACCTACGGCAGGGCGGTTACCTTGTTATTGCACTAATCAAGCTCTTTGGATGCTATTAAGCTAATAAGCCAATGGAGATCTGAGGCGCATACACAATTTCCAGCTCCTCTCCTTGCCTGTGCTATAGAGGCCTGGTGTGATTTTTCTCAATTCCTTTGAAAGAGAGACTATAGACACCACTACCAGAGGAGAAGGAGGAAACAATCAGCCAGCGGTGATTTCACAAAGGCACCCGCCTTTCATGACCGCGACACCAAATATTTCACCTTCCTTCGGCCGCTGCGAAGTTTTGTGGCGCTGGCAGGACGGGCAGCGCGGAGCGAAGATGCGGGGTGCGCTGCTCCCGTAGCTGCCGGCCTGCAGACAATAGACAACTTTACTTGGAAGGCAAAATATTATTGGAGCTTCGGCTGACTGCCAGCAAGTTAAAAAAAAAAAAAAAAAAGATCCCGAGTTTGGGTTCGCCAAGTTAATCACTTCCTACAAAGTTACAGAGAAGCGGGGGTAACCTGAGGAGCGCCCGGTCATTCCAGGAGAAGAAAGTGGGAATAGCGGGATTAAAAGCGACAACGATCCCGGCAGCATCCTAACGGGAAAGGGGAGAGGAGGTGGATTTACCACCCCAGCCGGTGCCTGGGATGGGAAGAGCTCTCCTCTCCCCTTCAAAGACAAAAAAGGCAGGTCTTGCAAATACAAATGGGCCCCCAGTCCTTCCAATGCCTGTTTGATCGGCTCCGTCTCGGTTTGAGCAATACACGGCTCTTCACTTTACCAACTCCTCTCCCTCCACCCAGACAGCCCAGAAACAGCAGACGAAAATTGCTTGGGGAGGCAAATCCGCCTGGTTTCCCCCACTCCCCACTTCAGCTCTCTCCTATCCTCTCCTTCCCTGCATTTCCCCCCCTTCCCAAGCACACCAGATCTTTACCCTGTAACTCCCAACCGAGCCCCAAACTCTGACTCTAGGACGGAAAACCAGGCAGCCCCCCTGAAAGATTTCCTGAAAGATAAAGACAAAGTTGAGGGAAGGTGGGGGGTGGGGGGAAGAGAGGAGAGAGAGCTGCCTGAACACGAAGTGTAAGGGTATCAGTCACTGCCTGGAAGGAAGCCCCAGCTTGTGAACTCTTCTTGAACCGACATTTAAGTCTACGGTCATAAATCACCGGGACATAAACTCCGCCATTCACGACTGATAGCAGCGTATTTGTGGCCTGCTTACCTTAACTTCTGACGACTGAGGCGGAAGCCAGCATGCTCTCTCTCCCTCTCTCTCTCCCCCTCTTTTTTTTTTTTTTTTTTTTTTTTTGGAGGCGACACAACCCAGAGAGCAGGGGCTGCTGTCTGCCCCAACTCGATCCCTTTGGCCGCGGGGTGGGCACCGGCTCAGCTAGCTCATCGGCACCCGGCACCCCCCGGCCGAGAGGGGCGAGTCCTGCCCGCACGGGATGGGGTCGATTGCTCCGCACACCCGCCTATCCCTCTCCCCTGACGCTTCAAGCTGCGCACCCTACCCCGAGCCGGTCCGCGGCGTACCGTGCTCCCCCTGTGCGGGGCACGGAGGACGGGGATGTTTCCCAGGGGTGGTTTGGGAAGGGAAGGGGAAAGAGGGAAGGGGGGGGGGGGGTGAGTTGGAGCGGGGAAAATAGGAAAATATTTAAAAAAAAAAGGAAGGAAGAAAGAAAGGCGGCCGCCTGGGGAAGCATGGGCAGGGTGGGGGCTGGGGAGGGAGCGCAGGAGCACGGCAGTGAAGGAGTGCGGCCCCCCCGCACCCGGGCGTCACCGAAGTCCAGGAAAATTATGCTAATGAAGACAAACGGCGCTCACAAAGGGTCGCTCTCACCAGCCTCCAGGGTGCTGCTGTGGGGGTTTGAGTTTGTCCCTCTTACCGGTGGGCTTGGGGGGTAGTTGCAGAATAGCCCCTCTGCCGCTCCCCACGGCCGGGAGCCCCGCACAGCCCCGGCTGAATCCCGGGGAGGGAGCAAAGCCCGGAGAGCCAGGGCTGGGTCCGGAGAGCCAACCGAAGCCCACCAGGATCCCCGCTCTGGGCAATGCTTTCAGAGCCACGCTGGAAATCATTAGAGTTACTAATTATTAACTCATGCATGCGTGAGCGCACACACACACAGATGTACACACAGACACCCCCCTGCCCCCCTCAAATATCCCCAGCGCCCGGGACGGGCACAGAGGCGCTCACGCACGCACATGTGCTGCGCAGACGGGTCGGGGTGCCCGCAGCACCCCGTGGGGACGCGTGGGTGGGAGCCTCGCGTGGACGCGGGCCCGGCGCCTCACAGCTCGCCTTCGCCTTCTTTCTGCGGCACAGCTGAGGAAGGCTCTGGCCTCTTTCCTCAGCGCCACGGGGTTTAGGGGTGGTCGTGTCTCCCCAGTTTCCTGCAACAGAAACGCGGCAGCGACCGTGCAAGCGAGAACTTAAAACAAAGTTGCACATCCTGCCGGTAACGGGCTCCGTGCATTTAGCGGAGCCTGCGAATAAAATCTAGGTGTAAACTTGACGTTACTTCGTTAATTAAGGCGTTATAAATATAACTAGTCCGTTTAAAACACGAGGGAACCCAGCGTCATCTTTAAACACAAACAAAGCGAGGGGGAAGCGAGAAATAAAAAGCACTATAAGGCTAGGGTGGCCTCTTACGCATACCAATGGTTTTTGTCATTTATGGCTATGCAAGATTTATGACTTCGTGCACCAAAGCTGTAAACAGAGCACTAAAACAGAAAACACTTGCTCCTTATGGCATAAGTGAGAAGGCACCACATGAAAGGGGAAGCGGCCAGCGTAGGAGGAGAGAAGAGGCAAAAATCCTTCGTATGCGTTTTGCTTCAAACAATCCTGTGAATGTTGCTTTGGAAGGGAAAAAAAAAAGAAAAAAAAAAAGTCTTTTTAGTCAATAATCAACCCCACACTTTCTTCTGAAACTGCTGATCTTCCATTCGCCCACTTGCCCGGCCAAATACTGAGAGGCAGCGCTGCGCCCCGACGGAGTCCCCCGGACTGGCGAGGAGGATTTGGACAGGGAGAGAAAAGATGGGGACTGCCGAAACCTGCGGACACCGGGGAGCCTGCCGGTTTGGGGGGCCCCACCGAAAGCCGGGAGAGTTTTTCGCTAAGAGTGCGTTTCAACTTGGGAGCCATCTCCAGCAGGATTTTCTGACTAAATGTCTGTATTTAAGAACGGGGAACGGGAAGCGGGGGGAGTTTTGGTTTTTTTAAATGAAAGGATATGTAAGGACTTTAATCGTGAGAACCGAAGTGGTTCATAGGAATATGGAAGTGTTTATTCCATTCATTTACTGCCTGCAAAGAGTATTTTGTGAGATTTCTCTAATTAGCCCATTTCCCCATGCTCCTCCTCTCCCCAAAGAGG